ACAAATGAATAAATCAATTCGTGGCAGGCATTTATTGATATTTGAATGTGGGTATTAATGAATGAATAAAACAATGGAGAAACAAATTCATATATAGGGGCTCAATAAGTTTCATTCAATGAAAGGAAAAAAATGAAGCCATGAGCAAATGAAGGCAGTGAATGAATGAACAACTTGCGCCTAGTCAGAATTTAACCTGCTCTATTTTTTTATTTTTTATTTTTATTTATTTTTTTGAGATAGACTCTTGCTCTGTCACCCAGGCTGGAGTACAGTGGTACAATCTCAGCTCACTGCAACTTCCGCCTCTTGGGTTCAAGTGATTCTCCCACCTCAGCCTCCCGTGTAGCTGGGATTACAGGCGCACGCCACCACGCCTGGCTAGTTTTTGTAATTTTTAGTAGAGATGGGATTTCACCATGTTGGTCAGGCTGGTCTTGAACTCCTGACCTCAAGTGATCCACCTGCCTCGGCCTCCCAAAGTGCTGGGATTATACATGTGAGCCACCGCGCCCGGCCTAACCTGCATTTATTGGATAATGAATAGAGAAGGAAATAAATGAAAGATGTGACTTTGTACCTAGTAAGTGCTCAAGCTGTATTTATGGGATAAAGGAATGAAGGGAGCAAAGAATGAATAAGGAGTCGGCACATGATAGGTACACAGCCTGTAATCTGGATGGATGCACAGTGACAGAGGAATTGACAGATGGAGGCGTGAAGGCAGGAGGAAATGAATGAGTAGACAGCCTGTGGCACAGTAGCCGTTCAGTCAGCATGATTGAATGAGTGAATGAAGGAATGAACGAGGGAAGGCATGAGATCGCACCCATTTGGTCCTCACCGAGAGCGTTGGGGTGGAGGAAGAAATTGGGAGTTGGCACAGACTAGGCATGGTTGGTAGCACAACTGCCTGATCTTTGGCTCGCAGGTGGCTCTGTCTGGAGAACGCCCCATGCTATGACAATGTTCCCCAAGGCATCTTCGCCCCTGAATTCTTCTTCAAGGTGTTGGTGAGCAATAGGTGAGCCAGGCAAGTGGCCCAGGTGCGGGTCAGGGGCTGCCCATGGAACGCCTGGCTTCTCCGCTAATCCTGGGTCCCCTCCCAACCCCCGCAGAGGAGTGGACACGAGCACCTACTGCAACTACCAGCTCACCTTCCTGCTGCACATCCACGGGCTGCCACTCAGTCCCAAGCGGGCCCTTTTCATCCTCATGGTGAGTGGCTGTCCAGGAGCTGCCCTGCTGGGTGGGCAAGGGCCCACACCTCCACACCTATGCTTGTTGTACTTCACTAATTCATTCCTTCAGTCACTCATCTGGTCATGCCGACTGAACGCCTGCCATGCCACAGGCTGTCTACTCATTCATTTCCTCCTGCCATCACGCCTCCATCTGTCAATTTCCCTGTAACTGTGGATCCAGATTGTGGACTGTGTACCTTATCATGTGCCAACTCCTTATTTATTCTTTGCTCCCTGCAGGTGTCAGTCAGCGTGTTTGTGGGCCTGGTGATCTTCTACATTGCCTTCTGCCTCCTGTGGCCCCTCGTGGTGAAGGGCTGCACGATGATCCGGTGGAAGATAAACGATATCATTGCCTCAGAATCCTACTACACCTATGCCTCCATTTCCGGAATGTCGAGCATGCAGTCTCTGAGACGTTCCAGGATGGGCTCCATGTTCAGCTCCAGGATGACAGAGGACAAGGCTGAACCCAAGGAAGCTGTGGAGAGACAGTTGATGACCTGAGTCTGCCGCGTGCCCCAGCCCCCAGTCACTGTCACACTTCCCCTACGAGGCCCATCTTGAAGATGCAGCCTGTCACCCAGCTCAGACCTCTGTTTTGCTTGATGTTTACTTCTGGTTCAGACTCAAATAAAGCCTTTTTTCAGGACCAGCTGTGGGCCCTCTTAAGAGCTTGAGTTCAGAAGGTTTGTACCAGCATAGCTGCACATTAAAATATCATAAACCTCGCTGGGCACTGTAGCTTATGCCTGTAATCCCAGCACTTTGGGAGGCGGAAGCAGGCAGATCATTTGAGGTCAGGAGTTTGAGACCAGCCTGGCCCACATGGTGAAAACTTGCAACCCTGTCTCTACTAAAAATACAAAAAATTAGCTGGGCATGGTGGTGCATGACTGTAATTCCAACTACTTGGGAGGCTGAGACAGGATAATCCCCTGAACCTGGGAGGCAGAAGTTGCAGTGAGCCAAGATTGCGCCACTGCATTCCAGCCTGGGCAACAGACTGAGACTCCCGACTCAACAAAACAATAAATAAAATATCAAAAACCTTCTAGGCCACCTGTTAAATAGTGGCTTCTCTGTGTGCCTGTTGGCTGAGCCCCTCCCCAGGGTGCCCCAGACCTCCCTGTGGTCCAGCAGGATCCTCCACAATCCAGGCCCATTGCTATGGCCCACCATCTGCTCTGATTATTTAGTGTTACGTATTTTGAATGTCAACACCTATCTAATGTCTTAAGGAGGGGACCCTGGAGATGTCAGGATTCTTATTTTAGTTGCAAGTAGCAAGTATTTCCCTCAAATGGTCTACATGAAAATGGTAATTTACAGGCTTCAGGTACAGTTTGATCCAGTAGTCCCCAGGGTCCACAGGATTCAGCCTTCATTTCTCTGTAGTTTTTTCTTCTCTGTCCTCCTCTGAGTGCAGTCTCTGACCTCAGGACAACTCCTCTCACCATCTGAGGCTAGTTATGCAGTCCATAATCTGGATGGATGCATAGTGACCGATGAATTGACAGATGGAGGCATGAAGGCAGGAGGAAATAAATGAGTAAAAAAATACCGTGTTGCATGGTAGGCATTCGGTCAGCATTACTGGATGAATGAATGACGGAGCGAATGAGGAAAGGTGTGAGACTATGCCTAGTTGGTGCTCACTCAGAGTGTTGGGGTGGAGGAATAAATTGGGATTGGCATCGACTAGGCATGGTTGGTAGCACAAAAACCTAATGAAACTTGACAATAACAAGAGTTGGCAACACTCATGTGTGTAAGGTCTGTTGGCTAAGGTTGTTTCCACCACCAAGATTCTATTGAGTCACCTCCTGGTCCAGATGAACACATCATAATCCTGTATCAGCCAAGTCAACATGTGATTTGAATATCACCATCTGCATTTCCAGCCAAGATAAAGTGACAGAGACTGGATTTCCCCTCATACTTGAAACTATTTATTTATTTTTGAGATGGAGTCTTGCTCTGTCACCCAGGCTGGAGTGCAGTGGTGCTATCTCGGCTCACTGCAACCTCTGCCTCCTGGGTTCAAGCGATTCTCCTGCCTCAGCCTCCCGAGTGGCTGGGACTACAGACGCATGACACCATGTCCAGCTGATTTTTTGTATTTTTAGTAGAGACAGGATTTCACCGTGTTAGCCAGGCTGGTCTCGATCTCCCGACCTCGTGATCCATCCACCTCAGCCTCCCGAAGTACTGGGATTACAGGCGTGAGCCACCGTATCATCGTGGTTTTTTGGTTTTTTTTGTTTTTGTTATTTTTTAGATGGAGTTTTGCTCTTGTTGCCTAGGCTGGAGGGCAATGGTGCGATCCTGGCTCACTGCAACCTCCGCCTCCCAAGTTCAAGTGATTCTCCTGTCTCAGGCTCCCGAATGAGTAACTGGGATTACAGGCACCCACAACCATGCCTGGATAGATAATTTTTCGTATTTGTAGTAGAGATGGAGTTTCACCATGTTGGCCAAGCTGGTCTCAAACTCCTGACCTCGGGTGATCCACCCACTTCAGCCTCCCAAAGTGCTGAGATTACAGGCGTGAGCCACCGTGCCCGGCCAACAAATATTTATTGACTGTCGACTAATATTTGCCAAGCACTGAGATACTGGGAATTCAGTGGTGAAGGAAATCGTCCTGCCTCCATGGAGATGACATTCTAAACAGTGGAGACAAGAGAGTGAGAGCCCGGCTTGAGAAAAACGTGCTGTCCAGGCGCAGTGACTCATACCTGTGAATTCCAACACTTTGAGAGGTCAAGGCAGGAAGATCGCTTGAGCTCAGGAGTTCGAGACCAACCTGGGCAGTATGAGTCTCTACAAAAAAATTAAAATAAAATTTTTTTTAAAAGAGAGAAAAAGCGATGTTGAATGTTCAGGTGTAATATCAATCAATGGAGGAAGGAGAAGTTGGTATAAGAAGCTGTGAATACTGGCCAGGCAAGGTGGCTCATGCCTGTAATCCCAGCACTTCGGGAGGCCGGGGCCTGGGGAATTACCTGAGTTCAGGAGTTGGAGACCAGCCTGACCAACGTGGTGGAACCCGGGCTCTACTAAAAATACGAAAATTAACTGTATGTGGTGGCACGTGCCTGTAATCCCAGCTACTTGGGAGGCTGGGGCAGAAGAATCACTTGAACCCAGGAGGCGGAGGATGCAGTGAGCCAAGATCACTCCATTGCACTCCAGCCTGGGCAGCAAGAGCTAAATTCCGTCTCAAAAAAAAAAAAAAAAAAAAAAATTGTGAATCCTTCATTTACATATGATATTTAAAGCCATAGAGCTGGATGAGTTTTGTAACTAGTTCGTTCATATAAGCTTGGGAAAAAGATGTAGAAGGATGCATTGAAAAAGAGACTGGAGGCCGGGCGCGGTGGCTCAAGCCTGTAATCCCAGCACTTTGGGAGGCCGAGACGGGCGGATCACGAGGTCAGGAGATCGAGATCAGCCTGGCTAACACGGTGAAACCCCATCTCTACCAAAAAAATACAAAAAACTAGCCGGGCGAGGTGGCGGGTGCCTGTAGTCGCAGCTACTCGGGAGGCTGAGGCAGGAGAATGGCGTAAACCCGGGAGGCGGATCTTGCAGTGAGCTGAGATCCGGCCACTGCACTCCAGCCTGGGCGACTGAGCGAGACTCCGTCTCAAAAAAAAAAAAAAAAAAGAAAAAGAGACTGGAGAGGGAGCCCCAGGTATACATCCTAGCTGTTAGTCCGTTGGAAGGTTACCCGGCCTCTCTGTTTATAAAATGAGTAAAACACAGCTCTCCAAACGGCACGACATCGCCACCTATTGGCTGGAGACGCTGCTCCGAAGGCGGAACCTTCAGGACAGCTACGTAGCGTCCCGAACACTCAGACTGAAGCCAGGGCAGCCATGTTCATTACTGGAACCGTGAGGTCGGTGGGGCGGGAGGGCGGCGTTGAGACAGCTGTCATTTTCAGTTAGGGCAAAAGCCGACTTCCGGTCACCATCTTGAGTGACGACAGAGGCGGAGCTCCAACTGACATGTTCATTAAGGGCAGGGCTCCGAGGGCGCCACCTCGAGAGCGACAGCGGGCTACCCGTGGCGGGCGGAGGCAGGTTGTAGCCCCGCCCCGGGTCTTGGGCTCCACCTCTCGGCCCCACTTCCGCCGGGCGAGCGTCTGTAGGCGGCGTTGCCGTAAATCGGGCGGTCGGCTTGCCGCATCACGCAACATGGCGGCCGCGGCGGTGAACGGGGCGGCAGGCTTCTCGAACTCGGGGCCCGCGGCGACCTCGGGCGCTGTCCTACAAGCCGCGACCGGCATGTACGAGCAACTCAAGGGCGAGTGGAATCGTAAAAGTCCCAATCTTAGCAAGTGCGGGGAAGAGCTGGGCCGGCTAAAGGTAAGGTTGGCAGGCCCAGGAAACCGTGTGTTGCGGGCGTGGGGGGCGCTACGAGGTGTCTGGACCCAACCAAGTCCCGGGCCGCGGAATACACCTCGGTGCCAGCGAGACTGAGGCGGGCTGGGGGATCCGACGGGGCGAAAGATTTGGAGCAGCCAAAGTGGCGGCCCGGAGGGGGTCAAGAAGCGAGAGAGGACAGGGCGCGGTGGTTCACGCCTGTAATCGCAGCATTTGGCGGGGGAGCATCACTTAAGCCCAGGAGTTCAAGATCAGCTTGAGCAACAAAGCGAGACTCTTGTCTCTACACTTTTTTTTTTTTTTTTCAGGTGAGAGATGACTGGAATGGACCTACGCGGGCGTGGTAGGGGAATGATGGAAAGACTCGGGATGGCAGAATGAGTGAGGGGTTAGAGTTTTGGTGCTTGGAGGCTTAACTGGTCGGAGTGGCAGGACTGGGGTTCTTTCTTTTCCTGATGGTGGAGTCCAGGCAAGACCAAGTGGGAAATGAGAACTGCCCAGGATGATAAAAGAATGAGACTGAAAAGGTGGACTGTGTAGAGGGTATGTGGTTAAGACCAGGCTGGGTTAGGATCTGAGAGATCTGGGGCTTAGGCTCGCATCTGTGGGGACAGGGGGCAGCCTAGTTGTGAAGGCAGGACTGAACCTAGAAGAAATATTCTTACAAGTAGAGAACAAGAATATGGGGCTCAGAGTGCTTGAGACCAAGTATGTGTTGGGAGGGAGTATAAATCCAGTGGCTTGGAACAAGCTGCTGTGTCTGCTAAGGAAAAATGTATGGGCTGAACTGTGTGGGGAGATTTGGACCTCCCCCTCCCAGATGCAGATTTTGGGGATAGCCCAGCTACCCCTTCCCCAATAGATGGTGGGGAAGATCAGCCACGAATGGAATGTGCTGGTGTCCCCCGCCCCCGCCGTGTGATTCCACTGGGTCAGGCACTGAGTGTCCCTCCTTGTTTCCCCAGTGGGGCTATTAATAATTGTAATGTGATGGAATCTTAAATGGGCGTGTGTTGTGTGCTCAGGCCTTGTTCTGAGTGCTTTATGAAAAAGGACTCTTCGGCCTGGCGTGGTGGCTCACGCCTGTAATCCCAGCACTTTGGGAGGCCAAGACAGGATCATGAGGTCAGGAGGTCGAGACCATCCTGGCTAACAAGGTGAAATCCCATCTCTACTAAAAATACAAAAAAAAAATTAGCTGGGTGTGGTGGCAGGCGCCTGTTGTCCCAGCTACTTGAGAGGCTGAGGCAGGAGGATGGCGTGAACTCAGGAGGTGGAGCTTGCAGTGAACGGAGATGGCACCACTGCACTCCAGCCTGGGCGACAGAGTGAGACTCCGTCTCAAAAAAAAAAAAAAGGACTCTTCATGAGTCAGGATGATGGTTAGCCCCATTTTCCAGGTGGGAGGAACAAAGCATAGAGCAGGTAAGTCATCTGTATTTGAATTCCCATCTTTTCTTCCCTCCCCTCCCCATCAGCTAGTTCTTCTGGAGCTCAACTTCTTGCCAACCACAGGGACCAAGCTGACCAAACAGCAGCTCATTCTGGCCCGTGAGTGTCACTGGGGTTAGTGGGGGGTGATGATCAGGGGGTTATGGCAGGAATGGTAGCAGTGGTGGTTGGGGAAGAGACCTCAGTCACCTCCTGAGAGCTCACTCTGTCACCCACAGGTGACATACTGGAGATCGGGGCCCAGTGGAGCATCCTGCGCAAGGACATCCCCTCCTTCGAGCGCTACATGGCCCAGCTCAAATGCTACTACTTTGATTACAAGTGAGAATGGGTCCTGCCCCCAATTGGGGGGTGGTTGCATGGCAGCTCCTTTATCTCTGGGGCTCTGGCCATTTGGGTCCTCTTTCTTCATCTGGGAACTCCTCCTGGCTTAGTTCTGTCCTCAGAACTAGGGTCAGGAGTTGGCTTGGAGGTCCTAAGACTTGGCTTGTGTGATCCAGGCTTGTAGGTCTCTAGTCAGTCTCCCCCAACCCATTCCCACACTGCAGCCCCTCTGCCCAGCAGGGCTGCCATCACCCTTCACTAGTCCTGGCCCCAGCCTTGCCCCTCTGACTCAAACCCCCGTGGCAGCCAGCAGGATCATGTAACACTAAAATTTGACACTGTCCATACCCTGCTCAGAACCTGCATGGCTCTTCATGGTCCTCAGGCACAAGACCAAGTTCTTTCCTGTGGCTTCCAGTCCGGTCCCAGCTCCGACCCCTCTGCCTGTGCCTGCCCATCCCAGCCGTTTCTCTCACTGGACTGTGAGCTTTCTAAAGGCAGAGCCTGGAACTGTTTCAGTTACTGCTGTGTCCCTTACACTGCCTACCACAGGGCCAGGCCCAGAACAGGGACTCACCGGATATGTGTTGAATGTAAAACTGAATGATACCTGCACAGATTAATGATTGGGAATTTGACGTCAGACGAACCTGGCTTTGAAATGTCCAGCCGCTTCCTGATTATGAGGTCTTGGGCAAATGACTTTACCTCTCTCACTTTCCCTGTTAAAGTAGGGAGTGGTGGTTCTTTTATTTATTTATTTTTGGAGATAGGGTCTTGCTCTGTTGCCCAGGCTGGAGTGCAATGGTGCAGTCATGGCTCACCACAGCCTTGACCTCCTGGGCTCAAGCGATGCTCCTACCTTAGCCTCTCAAGTAGCTAGGGCTACAGGTGCACACCACCACTCCTGCCTGTTTCATTTTAATTTTTTGTAGAGATGGGGGTCTCACTTTGTTGTCCAGGCTGGTCTTGAACTCCTGGCCACAAGTGATCCTCCTGCCTTAGGCTCCCAGATTGTTGGGATTACAGGTGTTGAGTCATTGCACCTGACTCCAATAACTCTTTTTTTTTTTTTTTTTGAGATGGAGTTTCACTCTTGTTGCCCAGGCCGTCGTGCAATGGTGTGATCTCGGCTCACCACAACCTCCGCCTCCCAGGTTCAAGTGATTCTCCTGCCTCAGTCTCCCGAGTAGGTGGGATTACAGGCATGCACCACCACACCTGGCTAATTTTTGTATTTTTAGTAGAGATGGGGTTTCTCCATGTTGGTCAGGCTGGTCTCGAACTCCTGACCTCAGGCAATCCACCCGCCTCAGCCTCCCAAAGTGCTGGGATTACAGACGTGAGCCACCATGCCCGGCCAGTAACTCTTTCTTTCTCTTTTTTTTGAGATAGGAGTCTCACTCTGTCACCCAGGCTAGAGTGCAACAGTGCGAACTTGGCTCACTGCGACCTCCACCTCCCACGTTCAAGTGATTCTCCTGCCTCAGCCTCCCTCAGCCTCCTGAGTAGCTGGGATTACAGGCGCCCGCCACCACGCCCAGCTAATTTTTGTATTTTTAGTAGAGACGGGGTTTTGCCAGGTTTGCCAGGCTGGTTTTGAACTCCTGACCTCAGGTGATCCATCCGCCTCAAAGTGCTGGGATTATAGGCATGAGCCACCGCGCCTGGCCAGTAACTCTTAATATAATTATAGCTAACACTGTGTTTATTTGGGCCAGGTATTGTTCTAATCACCTTACCTGGGTTGAACCATTTAGTTCACTTAACCCTTGTTCATTCAACCCATCTCTACAAAGTGGATACTGTGAGGCCAGGCACGATGGCACATGCCTGAAACCCCAGCACTTTGGGAGGCTGAGACAAAAGGATCACTTGAGTCCAGGAGTTCCAGACCTGCCTGGCCAACATGGCGAAATCCTGTCTCTACAAAAAATAACAAAAAAATTAGCTGGACATGATGGTGTGCACTTGTAGTCCCGCTACTTTGGAGTCTGAGGTTGGAGGATAGCTTGAGCATGGGAAGTTGAGGCTGCAGTGAGCCTGAGTGACAGAGCGAGACCCTGTCTTGTAATTGGGAAAAAATAAAAGGGCCGGGTGTGGTGGCTCACACTGTAATCCCAGCACTTTGGGGGGCTGAGGTGGGTGGATCACGAGATCAGGAGTTCGAGACCAGCCTGGCCAGCATGGTGAAACCCTGTCTCTACTAAAAATACCAAAAATTAGCCAGGCGTGGTGGCATGTGCTTGTAGTCCCAGCTACTTGGGAGGCTGAGTCAGGAGAATCGCTTAAACCCGGCAAGCAGAGGTTGCAGTGAGCCAAGAACGCACCATTACACTCCAGTCTGGGCAACAGAGAGAGACTCCTTCTCAAAAATAAATAAAAGGATACTGTGGTGATACCCAGTTTACACTTTGGGAAACTGAGGTTGTCATTTCACTGAAGTGAGGTCCCTCACTTGGATCAGTATGACTTGTGACTAATTCATGCATCTTTGGGCCACAGTTTCCTCATATGAAAACCCGGGACCTGATACCTCTTCAGGAGATGCATGGGGCAGGCGTGAGAATTCCTGGAGCCTGGGGTAGAGGGCTCGCTAGGCCCCTAAATCCTCCTTACCCTGCTTCCCCGTCCCGCGTCCACAGGGAGCAGCTCCCCGAGTCAGCCTATATGCACCAGCTCTTGGGCCTCAACCTCCTCTTCCTGCTGTCCCAGAACCGGGTGGCTGAGTTCCACACGGAGTTGGAGCGGCTGCCTGCCAAGGACATCCAGACCAACGTCTACATCAAGCACCCTGTGTCCCTGGAGCAAGTGAGGCGGCAGGCGGCGGGGGAGGACCTGGCCAAAGTGGGCGGTGCAGGGGTGGCCTTCAGAGGGCCTTCCTGAAGGAGTGGCCAGGGTTCACCCATCTTTCCACCCATGGACCCATCCTCTTGTTTGTCCAACAAATACTGAGTCCCAGCTGTGTGCCAGACACTGTGGGAGGTTGTCAGACTGTGCAGTGAGCCAAGCAGGTGAAATTCGTGATCTTGTGGTGATGACATTGGGGTGCGGAAGCAGATAGTAAGCCCGAAGAGTGAGTGGCCTGTGCGGTCTGTCAGATGCTGAGTACTGTGGAGAAAAGGCAGAAAGGAGGGTAGAGAGGCAGGGACGGGGTAACATTTATCTCGGGGAGTCAGAAGGCCTTACTGAAAAGGTGAAATTGGAGAAAGACTTGAAAAGGGTGAGGAACTGGCTCATGCCTGTAATCCCAGCACTTTGGGAGGCTGAGGCAGGAGGACAGCTTGAGCTCAGGAGTTCAAGACTGCAGTGTGCTATGATCACCACTGTATTCTAGCCTGGGTGACAGATTCTGTCTCTATTTAGAAAATAAATAAATAAAAACAGATTTTTTTAAAGAAAAGGGTGACCATGCACAGTGGCTCACGCCTGTAATCCCAGCACATTGGGAGGCCAAGGCGGGTGGATCACCTGAGGTCAGGAGGTCGAAACCGGCATGGCCAACATGGTGAAACCCCGTCTCTATAAAAATACAAAAATTAGTTGGGTGCGGTGGTTGGTGCCTGTAATCCCAGCTACTTGGGAGGCTGAGACAGGAGAATCGCTTGAACCCAGGAGGTAGAGGTTGCAGTGAACCAAGATTGCGCTACTGCACTCCAGCCTGGGCAACAGAGCAAGACTCTATCTCAAAAAGAAAAAAAAGGATGAGGAACTGAACCGTGTGGACAGCCAGGCAGAGGGACCAGCCAGTCCAACTGTCCTGAGGCAGCACCATGTCTGCTGTGTTAGAGGGACAGCCGAGAAGACGGTGTTTTGGGAACAAAGGGAGCAGGGCCAGGGCAAGGCCTTAGGACCTAAGGGTGGGAAGTTGTTCCTGGAGCTGACGTCTTAGGGGAGGATTTGGTCCGTGGGGAGAGGATGGGAGAGAGAGCAGTTAGGGCGGGCAGCACAGTTCATGCAGAGGTGTAAGGGATGAGCCTGAGGTGGAGCCGGCCCTGTCTCCCTCCTGGAGAATAGGTGGATAATTGGACAGTAGATGAGATAATGAGATGCCAGCCCAGAGCAGGCTTGGGGAGAGGGAGGGAGGGAGGAAGGGGGTGGGGGCAGAGAGAGAGAGTCGTGTGTGTGTGTGTGTGTCTGTGTGTGTCTGTGTGTGTCTGTGTGTGTGTCTGTGTGTGT